ACACAAAAAAAAAAAAAAAAAAAAAAAAAAAAAAAACATGGATTGAATACAATTTGCTGTTGTTGTTTTAGGTTTTTGCCGTAGGGCACAGGTACTTGCCAGAGACAGACAGTCAGAGACAGTAAGACGGAAAGTGAGAAATCACCCCCAGGAGGGATGGCCACACCACAATCCTGCCTCCATTCTCTTCCTAGGATTTTGGGCATGCATGCACACACACACATATCTGGCGTGATTTTCAAACCACCATGTCTGAAACTCAGACCATGGTAGACCATGTGGGAGCCCAGCCTTAACCACCTTACCACCTGCTGACCCTCTTTGTTTCTTTGTTTTTATAGATAAGGTCTCCTTATGTTGCCCAGATCAGCCTCTATCTGGAGATTCTCCTGCCCCAGCCTCCCCAGTTACAGGCTCTGGCCCGCTCCTGGGTTTTAGCTTGGGGGAGAATCCAACATGGCCTCCCATGTAGACCTAGTCCTCGGTGTATAGTGTTTTAGCGACATGTCAGGAAGGCCTTCCTCAAAAACCTTGATCATCAAGTTACTTGCAGATCAGGGCCTTCTAATCCTTTCTTTGACCAAAGTAAGCCATTTTCATGTTTTGAATAAAAAGAGCTTTCCTCCAGACCAGCAGAGGGTGTAATGGTTAGGTAGATGGACTCTCATGTTCTTGACCATGGTTACAGTCCTGAACTCAGAAGCTTGAAGCTCATACTGGCACATGAGTGTGTGTGCCCAAAATCCCAGGAGGAGAGTGGAGAAGGGATTGCAGTGTGGCCTTCCACCCTGAGGGGTGATTTCACACTGTCTCTCTGCCACCCTATAGCAAAAAATCTCTCTGAAGAAAAAGAGTCTTTGTATGGTAAAAAAATGCCTGCCAATCTGGGATCAGCAGTTAGCGTAATGGCTATGTCGCTGGACTCCCATGCAGTCGACCTCAGTTTGTGTCCCGGACCCAGTGGCTTAAAACTCACGCTGGGCGGGTGTGCAGAGGAGAAGGGATTGCAGTGTGGCCATCCCCCCAGGGGGTGATTTCACGCTTTCTGTCTCTCTGTCTCTCTGTGTCTGGCAAGCACACGCGCCCTATAGCAAAAACCTCTCCAGAAAAAAAATGCCTGTCAATCGAGGTACTTACTCTGGTAAGTAGATAGATGTACTGTTTTTGTGTGTGCATGTGAATCCCTGGTCCTGAGGATCTATCATCCCACATTAAATTGACTGAATTAAGACAAGTCATTAGTGCCCCCTAGATTCCTCTTCAGGAAACTGGATGGTTTTTGACTGGTTTAGCTAGCTGTCTGCTGTTTTTGCTCCCTCCCTCCTTCATTCATTTATAAATCTACCCAGGAATGGGTATTAAGAATTCAGAAACACTGTTGTCAGATTCAAAAGGCTATTACTATCGTAAATACATTGTCCCAATACATGTTAGCACTTTTGGTATATCTGTAGATTACCAAGAGGTACTCAAATCCTAAATCACGGTCAACAAGCAGCTGTTCTGAAACAGCTTCTAGGTGCCCCTTTTAACCCAGTAAAATACTATCGGCTCTAGCTTCAGCTGCTGGATAATATTAAGCATTCTCTATGTGCATGAGACAGGAGTCGTGGAGAAAAGCATAACGACACTACAAGCCAAAACTTGGGAGCCCCCGAAATAACAGCATAAGGTTTATTAATTGCTGTTGGAACCGTAAATGCCTGGAGGGTGGTGCTCCTGCTCTTAAACCGTCAGCTCTCTTCGTGGTATCCAGCACTGAGTAGGCGCTCTACGAACGTGAACCCAATGAGTAAGAAGCCCAGCACAGCAGGCAACTGCAGCAGGGCCGAGACTCGCGCGCCTTCCGCGTGCCTGCCGCCGGGGGCCACGTGACAGGCTCAGGCCAATAGGCAGGCCGCCTGCGACGGGCCTGTATAAAGGCGCCCGGCTCCGCTGGGGGCCGCCCCCCGCCATTAGGGCGAGAGCTGGCGGCGACGGCAGGTGGACGGTGGAGAGCGGCTGCCCTGCACCGCTTCATCTTGTGCAAGCTGAAAGGGACAATCAGACACGCTCCTTTTTATAAGAGGTAAAACAGCCTCTGCGGAGGGCTCCTCCCTGGGCTGGCCCCCGGGTCCTGTCCGGTGTGGGAACAACCGTTTGTTCCCACCCTCCCTTCCCCCATCACCGCTGTGCTGCCCGAAAGGCAGTTGGGGGCCAACCCGACCCAGTGCCTGCAGCCCAGGTGAGCTGCCAGGGCTTTGCGTGGACTTTAGCTACTACAAACTCGTTGCCCCAGTGATTTTTTTTTTAATTATTTTTCCTTCTTCGCCCCCAAATACTTAGTGTTTTCGCAAGGGGTGATAGAAGGAGGCGGGGACTAGTTGGCCTCCCCCACCCTGGAGAACATTCTCTTTGGTCATGTGTGTTGGGTTGTTGTGTGGTGTGGCTTCGGGAACGCCAGAGAAAGTACCGAGTTTTAGCTTTAGCTGGCATTTTTGTTGTGTTTATTCTGTATGTCGTCCTTTGGGACAAGGAAATCTTGGCCCTTGATCCATTTATTCATGCAACCGTGAATTAAGCTTTATTAAGTTCTTGGGACATCCTCAACCTGCTGGGCGCGCGGAATGGGAGGTGGGCCTGACCTCCCTGCACGTTGGCCTGCGTTGAAGAATTTAGAGGTACGTACAGGGTGCTTTGAGTCTCGTACAGGGTGCTTTGAGTCTCGTGGGAAGGGCCAGGGTGGGTGGAAGGGAATGGGGGGAGACTTCATCTTAGAAATGTGAGCTCAGCCGGGTCTTGGGACAAGTAGAAGTTAGGCTAAAGGGTGATGAGGAAGCTCAGGTAAAGAGAAATCTCCCGAAGTCGTGAATATGTGTGCTGGGAGAGGGGGAGAGGAGAATGGCAGTTTCTTAGTGGCTGCTACAGTGGACAGTGTTGAACCTATGATCTTAAAGTGCTTGGCAGGAGTCAGAACGTGATTGCATTAATTCACGTGTGAAGGGACGGTAAAAGCAGTGCTTTGAGGGGTGGGTTATAAGAACACAGTAAATAACCAGAATGTGGAAGTGTATATTAAGTAGTCGTTGGCATAGAGGTATTTGATACCTTGGAGTGACTGAGTTTGGCAGAAGGGGAGTGTGTAGAATTTTGTTTTGTTTGTTTTGTTTTGTTTGTTTTAAGGGAAAGGAAGAACCTTGGGCAACGTTGGTGGATTAGCAGGAGATGAGATTATGAAGGAGATAACTTTGGAAGTCTGCTCCGATCCTCGTATTCGTTCTGTTAACAGTGTTATTACCTGTCCTAGCACTACTTATACGTGTCGTATTTTTACCTATTTACATGTCTCTAAAGAGACTGTGTCCCCAAGTCCCAACCCAGTGCTTGGCACCATTGTAGGTGCTTTATAAATATTTAATAACTGATCAAATAGAATTTGGAAAATGGTATCCTGGAAACGAGAGGAGAATTAAGAGTCACAATAGTGACTGATGTTGAGAGGTCGAGTAAGAGAAGATTCAGAAAGAGTCCATTGGATGTAACAACTAAGTATGGTAAGTATTAACCTTCGTGTAAAGGGAAATTTAGAGAAATAGTTTGGGGCCAAGTGTGAAGTACAGATAATATGTTTTTTTAGGGTACTCTGATGTGAGTCACAGAACAGAATACTGAGGCTGCAAGGAAATGATAGGATTCATAGAAGGCTTATTTTTTTTTTTTTTGGAGAGATTTTTCTACAGGGCACGGGTGCTCACCAGAGAGATGGAAAGTGAGAAATCACCCCCTGGGGGGTGGCCATGCCACAATCCCTTCTCCTATATTCTCCTTTCAGGATTTTAGGTATACACGCCCATACACTGAGTGTGAGTTTTAAGCTACCAGGTCTGGGACTCGAGCCGTCGTCAGCTACATGGGAGTCTAGTGACATAACCATTATGCCGTCTGCTGGTCCCTAAGGGAAGAATTTTTAAAGAAACTTGACATTTACATGGAAGGAAGGTAGCATAGTAGTGTTAGATACAGGAATGTGGGAACAAGGACCTCAGGAAGTGGTGTTATTTGAAGTCCCCACAGAATAGGGAGTGTGCCTTATTCTCAGTCAGAGGGAGGAGCAGATGAGAAGATGATCATGAAAAATACAGTTTGAACTTCTGTCTTTGACCTTAACTCAAGCCTGATCTAGTGGGATATTGTTGTTTTTATTTTATAGTTTATTTCATTTATTAAAGTTTATTTTTTTTAATTTAACCTTTTATGTATTTTTAATTTGACTGGGGTGTGTGAAGAAAGTGAGAAAGCAAGCCTCCAGGTCTGGGACTCGAACCATGATGAGCCATGTGCGAGTCCAGTGTCTTTAACCACCATGCCACTTGCTGGCCCCTTTGTAGTTTACTTCTTTCATGAGAGAGGGAGACAGGCAGGCAGACAACACCCCCAAAGGGGTGCTAGGTTGTGATCCACCGCCAGCTCCAGTCAACCCCAGATCATGGGCACACAGCCATGGCGTACTCAGGGAGGTCTCCAGCCATCCCATGTGGGCCACCTTCACAGAGCTCATGCTTTTCTTCTTAGCTGTGGTCCCCTAACCTAGTTTTTTGTTTTGTTTTGTTTTGTTTTGGAGAGGTTTTCGCTATAGGGCACGTGCGCTTGCCAGACAGACAGAGAGAGACATAGAGACAGAAAGCGAGAAATCACCCCCCAGGGGGGATGGTCACACCGCAGTCCCTTCTCCATTCTCCTCTTGGGATCTTGGGCACGCACGTGCCTGGCATGAGTTTTAAGCCACCGGGTCCTGGACGCGAACCACGGTCAACTATGTGGGAGTCCAGCAACATAGCCATTACGCTAACTTCCAGAAACTTAGCCATTACGCTAACTGCTGTTTCCCCCCTAACCTAGTTTTTTTTTTTTTTTTTTTGAGAGGTTTTCGCTATAGGGCGCTTGCACTCGCTAGACAGAGAGAGACATAGAGACAGAAAGCAAGAAATCACCCCCCAGTGGAGGATGGTCACGCCGCAATTCTTGGGCACGCATGCACACGCGCCTGGCATGAGTTCTAAGCCACCAGGTCCGGGACATGAATTGCGGTCGACTACGTGGGAGTCCAGCGACATAGCCATTACGCTAACTGCTGGTCCCCCCCACCCCAACCTAGTTTTGAAGAAACTGTTTTCTTCCTTGAACTGCAGACTATTCATTTGATGATGTAAGATTTGGAATCAGTGGGAGCTCATCACGGTGAAGATTACATTTGAATTTTCTGAGTCCTAGAACAATCTGATTCCTAGACTCTTAGCTCTGTAGTTTTGTGCTGTACTGCTTCCTACATGTGTAAGTCCTACTGTGAACTTATACCAGAAGTGCCACCCAGCAGAAGGACTTACTCTCTTTCATTCATTGAAATGGATGGAATTAGGTTTATATTTTTTTAAAGAATTATTTATTTAATTTTATTTATTCATTTATTTTTAATTTGACCAGAAAAAGAGAGAGAAAGCCACCATATCGAACCGTGGTCAGCCATGTGGGAGTATCCAGCTCTTTAAACAGCATACCACCTGCTGGTCCCCAGAATTAGCTTTTTAAACAATCTTTCTTCAAAGCCTCAAAAAGTTTATACTTGGGACCAGCAGATGGCATAATGGTTATGTTGCTGGACTCCCACGTAGTAGACCATGGTTTGAGTCCTGGACCTGGTAGCTTAAAACTCACACTGGGCATGTGTGTGTGCATGCCCAAGTTACCGAGAGGAGGGTGGAGATGGATTGCGGTATGGTCATCCCGTCGGGATGATTTCTTCATTTCTCTCCCTCTGTCTCTCCGGCGAGTACATACACCCTATAGCAAAAATTTTAAACGTGCATACTTACCTAAAATTTAGCCTTCCACACAATTTAAAATGTACACTATTGCGGTGAGTAACCATTGAGGAACTAAATTTTATTTTCTTGACAAACTCAAATATATTGGTCCTGATGTTTTCAAAAGGGGGAAACATTTGCCAAAGAGATTGAACTCTTCCTGATAAATCTGTGCATCCATTTAATTTGTTTTTTTAATAATGTTTTAAAAGCATCTTCTTAGCTTGTGTATACATTTCAGAAAAGATTTGCAGTATAGAATTTGTCAGGAATGACTGAAATGTTTACCACAACCTCAAAGGCTCTCATGGAAATTTAAATTTTAATCTTGTACATTGTTGGTAGAAATGTAAATTGGCAAAACCTCTGGAGAATAATTAAACATCTAGCAAAATTTAAAAACTTTGACTCAGGAATTGCTTATAAGAATATAGCCAATAAGTATTTGCATAATGTAATTATGTATTTAGAGGATATTCACTGCAACATTGTATATAATAGTGGACTGAAAATAACTAATATCTGTATGTTCATAACTGCATAATGACATTATGCAGCTATTTAAAAAGTTTCACTGGGGGCCAGCAGGTGGCATAGTAGTTAAGGTGCTGGACTCCCACATGGTAAACTGCAGTTCGAGTCCTGGATCCAGCAGCTTGAAATTCGTGCTAGGTGCATGTGTATGGGTGCCCAAAATCCCAAGAGGAAAATAAAAAACAGATTGTGGCGTGGCCATTCCCCCTGGGGTTGATTTCTCACTTTCTGTGTCTCTGTCTATCTCTTTGGCAAGCATACACCTTACTGGAAAATTCTCTAGAAAGAAAAGTTTCCCTGGGTCATTTTGTAAGATGAATTAAGTGCAAAAAAAAATGCAATTTTTGAGAAGTTACACACAAAATTGCTAAATAGGAGGGGACCTGGTTGGTTGGGGAGACAAGTATGTGACACTGTACCTGGGACCAGAAGGTGGCATAATGGTTACGTCCCTGTACTTCCACATAGCTAAATGCAATTAAATCCTGGACCCAGCAGCTTAAAACTCAGCTGACTGTGTGGATGCATGCATCAAATCCCTAAAGGAGAATGGAGAAGGGGTTGGGGTCTGGCCATCCTCCTAGGGGGTGATTTCTTGCTTTCTGTCTCTTTCTATCCAGTGAGGTCATGGACTCTATTGCAAAAAATCTTTCAAATTAAAAAAAAAAATCTTTGTCTACCATTTTCATCATAATTTCATACTATGTGCATATTAAAATACAAGTAAGTTGCCTTTTTTTTTTTTAAATCTTTAAGTGAGGCATTGTCTTTTAAGAGTTTATTCAGAATTCCCAACACTATTTTATAAGTTACTGAGGGGCAAAAGTGGTATCATTTTCAGGCAATTTGTTCATGAAACCATACATATGATTTGATAAGTTGATGGTACACTATTACATGATTATCTTCAATAAAAAATAAATTTTTATAATCATTTATAAACACATTGTCTGATTAATTGTAATTGGTGGTTACTATATAACTTCTAATTCTTACTGGAGTTCTTTTTTTGTTTTTGTTTTTGTTTTTTAAGGATTATTTATTTATTTAATTCCATTTGTTATTTTTTAATCTGACCAGAGAAAGAGAGAAAGGGAAAGGAAGAAAGCAAGCCTCCAGGTCTGGGACTCAAACCATCATTGGCCATGTGGGAATCCAGCGCCTTTAACCACCGTACCATCTGCTGGCCCATTACTGTCTTGATTTCTTCTGCCGAGGACTTCTTTGTAGAAATATATCCAGGGCCAAAAATGTTTTGAAAGCAGAAATAACAATAATAACTCTCTGTAAACACTAGAATCAGTGAATTTTCACAAAGGATTGGCTATGTGACCATACCCCATTGGGGGTGCTTTCTCCCTTTTACTCTGTTTTTCTCTACAAGGATACATGCCCACTGGAAGAATTTAATAAAAAGTAAAATGAAATAGTGAGATGGCTTGCTATCTAGGGACAAAAGTTTTCCAAGTATTATGAAAGGCTACACGAACTTAAAAAAATTAAACAAAATTAAAATACTGTGAACAGTACAACTGGAATAATTAAAAAGCATACTTTGTGAACCAGAAAAAGTCTTAGTCCTGTATTTCTGAACAGTGAGCTCCCCCTTACGCTAGAAACAGGGGCCTTCAACCAAGGATTGCCGAGTATTTACCTCTCACAAGTGGATTTTCAAATATTAGCTATCCTTTTGGCTAGTGACAGTTACCAGAGCCGTTCATTCATGTCAGTTCATCTTCAGCCTTCAGTCACCGGTACTTAAATTTATTGTTTTGAATTGCCAGAGGGCACATGTGCTCATCAGAGACAGGTAAGGAGAAAGCACTACCAACTGGCAACGGGCACGACCGTGCTGCAATCCATTCTCCGTTTCTCCTAGCACACAGATGTACATGCCTTCGACCATTCCCTGTGGCAGGTGATTTCTTCTGTCCCTAGCTCTCTGCCTCTTTTTGGTAAGTACACATACCTTCTATCAAGAGAAACAGAAGTAGACTTTAAAAAATTTTTGCTATAGAATAGGTACTCTCTCCAGAGACAGACAGAGAGAGAGAGAGGGAAAGTGAGAAAGCACCCCCCGGGGGGGGGGTCGAGGGTGTTGTAATCCCTTCTCACATATCCATACACCTATTTCCTTTTTGATTTCACTTCAACTTAAATGCATGGTTTGTTAAAACTGTAAACAAATATTTAACATGTCTGTTACATGTAATACACAGGAACAGCTTTTAACAGAAATTCATTGATATGCCCCCTCAACATTTTTTTTATTATAAATACAAGTATCAAGACAATCTTGAACATAGATATATATATTTTTTTTTTTGAGAGGTTTTTGCTATAGGGTGCGTGTGCTCACCAGACAGAGACAGAGACAGAAATCACCCCCCAGGGGGGATGGCCATGCTTCAATGCCTTCTCCTCCATTCTCCTCTCAGGATCTTGGGCACACACGCACACGCGCCCGGCATGAGTTTAAGCCACCAGGTCCAGGACACGAACCACAGTCGACTACATGGGAGTCCAGTGACATAGCCATTATGCTAACTGCTGGTCCCCCTGAACATATTTTTTTATACTACTAATAGCACCCATACCACTTCAAAAATTAACACAGTTTGTGACAATATTCATTGTACCTGCTACCGTAAACAATTTCGACTGCAGCTCTTTCACTAAGCGAGATGGATAAAGCATGCCATTTCTGTTTTTCCTTCTTGAGATTTTTCACTTTTCAGAAACACACCTGCTGACACCACTGCCATCTGACACTTCTTGCCATGCTTTCATCTTGAAAACTCGAATTCTGTCTCGAGTACTCCAGGCTCACGTTGAAATGACAGCGCCCTAACAAGAGAAAAAAAATTGTGCTGCATTTTCCCCTCGTTCCCTGGAAACGTAACGGGTGCACAGATATTAAATATATTCTTACAAATGTCCGTCATGCTTACCAGCTGGAATTCTTTCACTTAATGTGTGGGTATTTGCATTGTGATATTTAACCAAGGCATTTACATGAGTAGAAGGCTGTTGATTTAAAACAAATCTGAGAGCCTCTAAAATGAATTGTTGTATGTTTGTCCTCCTGGTGGCTGTGGAAGCTTCGTATTTTCTTTGAACATCATTAGACGTCATAGCTCTTGAAGGACGACTTTAATGCTCTAAGAGTTTTGCCATTTTGTTAACACTGGTATGCTCCATGCATCCACCATCCCACTGGAATTATTTATTCCATTCATATTAATTTTTGTTACAAATCTAACTGATGGAGGAGCTTCTGGGTATTTAGGTCCACATTCTACTTTCAGGCTATATGTTCTGTTTTCATAATCTGTCCTTGGTGGCCCAATAATCATGCTTGTCCACCTTGTAAGTGTCATATCGTCATCATCTTCAAGGGCCCAGCTAACCGTACCATCGCCTACTTCTTTTTGTCCTTCAAGTTCTTCCAACAAGTGAAAATTTTGAGGAACTTTAACTCCTGTGGAGACCGCCATCTTCTCCTGCAGCCCCAATAGCTCATTTCATAATCTGTCCTTGGTGGCCCAATAATCATGCTTGTCCACCTTGTAAGTGTCATATCGTCATCATCTTCAAGGGCCCAGCTAACCGTACCATCGCCTACTTCTTTTTGTCCTTCAAGTTCTTCCAACAAGTGAAAATTTTGAGGAACTTTAACTCCTGTGGAGACCGCCATCTTCTCCTGCAGCCCCAATAGCTCATTTCTTTATAGGACTGAGTGATACTCCATTATCATGATGTAATAGTTTATTCATTTATGTGCTAAAGGAGTTCTGGTTGTTTCCAAGTTTTGGCAAGAATGACTAAAACTGCTAGAAACATCCATTTGCAGGGTCTTGTGTGGAAAGGTTTTTTGTTTATTTCGTTTTTGTTTCTGGTTTTTTTTTTTTTGTTTTTTTTTTTTTTTGAGAGGTTTTTGCTATAGGGTGCATGTGCTTGCCAGAGAGAGAGAAAGAAAGTGAGAAATCAACCCCCCCGGGGGGATGGCCTCGCCACAATCCCTTTTCCTCCATTCTCCTTCGGGATCTTGGGCATGCACACATATGCGCCAGGCATGAGTTTAGGACACTGGGCCCGGGACTCGAACCACGGTTGACTACATAGGAGTCCAGCGACATAGCCATTGTGCCAACTGCTGGTCCCTAGCGGAATTTTTTAAAAGAGCTTTTTGCTATAGGGTACATGAGCTTACCAGAAAGACAGAGAGACAGCAAGCAAGAAATCACCCCTGCAGGGGGAATGGCCACACTGCAATCCCTTCTCTATTCTCCTCTTAGGATTTTGGGTACATATGCACATGCACCCAGTATGAGATTCAAGCCTCCAGGTCCGGAACTCAAACTGCTGTTGACTACATTGGGGAGTCCAGCACTTTGACCACCATGGCACTTGCTGGCCTCCAGAATTTTGTTTAATTCATTTGTTTAAAAGTATTTCATTGATAAAGATCATTTATGTTCAGGCTGTACAATGTGCAGATTGAAATGTTCATATATTGTGTAATGATGATCACAATACAATCAACACATCACTCACTGCTCTTACTGTACATCAGAACTTGTTCATTTAGTAAGTGAAAGTTTGTACCCTTTGATCAACTTCTCCCTATTCTCCCACCTTGTAGCCACTGGCCAACATTGTTCTACACACCATTTTCATGAATTTGACTTTTTTATGTCCCACATACGAATATGATCATATAATTGTCTTTCAGTGTTTATTACACTGGCTTATCACACTTAGCACAATTTTCTCCATTTTGTTGTAAATGGTAAGATTTCCCTTTTTAAAATTGCTTTAAAAATATTTAAACATTCTAGTCTGACCCTGTGGCCTACTGGTTAAGGGAGCTGCATCCCATGTGGCCAAGCATGCAATTTGAGTCCTGGCCTTGGCAGCCTGAAAAACATGCTGGGTATGGGACCAGCAGATGGCGTAATCATTACGTCGCTGGACCACCATGTAGTTGACCATGGTTGGAATCCCAAACTGGTGTCTTAAAACTCGCACTGGGTGCATATGTGTGCATGCCCAAGATCCCAAGAGGCAAATGGAGGAGAAGGGATTGAGGTGTGTCCTTCCCCAGTGGGGTGATTTTTCACTTTCTGTCTCTTTTCTCTCTGGTGAGTGTATGCACGCTATAGCAAAAATATCTCTCTCTAAAAAAAAAAATGCCAGGTATGTGTGCATGTATGCCTCATATCCCAGTAGGATTGATAAATGAAAGAGAATGCAGTGTGACCATACCCCATTGGGGGGTGCTCTCTCTCTTGTCTCTGCGCCTCTCTCTGGCAAGTGCATGTACCCTCTGGCAATTAAGAAATTTTCATAACTTCTGTGTGTGCTATGTGTGTCCATCACATTTATTTTGCCCATTCATCTGTTAGACACTTAGTTTGTTTTCATATCTTGGCTATTGTAAATAATGCCACAGTGGAACAGGGTAGTGCTGGTAACTATGAGATGCTGTTTTGTTTTGTTTTAGATTTTGCTATAGGGCGCATGCCCTGACCAGAGATATAGAGATAGAGTAAGAAATCATTCCCCCAGCAAGAATGGCCATGTTGTAATCATTTCTCTTCCAGTCTTCTCTCGGGGTTTTGGGCATGCATGCACATGTGTCTGGCATGATTTTTAAGCTTCCAGGTCTGGGACTCTACCTCCCTCATAGTCAGCCACCTGGTATCTAGCGCCTTAACCTCCACACCACCTGCTGGCCAGAAATAATCTTCTCTTTACCTTTGGAAATATATCCAGTGTGGGATGGCTGTATCACATGGTATTTCTTTTTTCTTTCTTTCTTTTTTTTTTTTAACCAATGAATTTCCATTTTATTACAAATTTTAAAATCTGGGACTAGTTAAAAAAAAAAGCTTATATACTAATTTCAGCCCAGGGATAACTTTTTTACAACCAAACTAAAAATTACTACATGGGAACATCAATGCGACAAACAAGTAATATTTGCAAACCCAAGTCATAAACATAAACTTAGAAAATTAATAACCATGGTTTAAGGGCCACAGCCAAAGAGCAACTGATGCCTCAGTTACATTTGAAAGAAATTCTGCTTTCTCTGAGGGCAGAAGAGGATCATACAAACAATTCTGCTTTGAGAAATTTGCATAGAAATAGAAAATGCTAGAGCCTTTACCACAAATGAAATTGGAAAGCCTCAACATGTTAAACTCAATCCAAGAAGCACCAAATGTTAAATTGAAGCCATGGTTAAGACTAAAACATTTCAATTCCAGCTCCACAACTTGCAGAACACAAAAATTTCAGGTGTGGAAATCAGCTGTAGGCAAACTCTTTAAAAACAGGAATTTTACACACTGCAATTATAAAACAAGGCAGACATTTCTGCAGAATTGTTTGAGTTTCAGAAGGGTACCATCAGGCATCAGGGTCTCTTTCAAAGGCCCTATCTGGGCAAGTTACATCTTCCAGCCAGGATAACCACCTCTTACAGTTCTCTAGCCTCTGCCTGTGATGAGTGGCATAGGATCCTCAAAGGAAACCTCGTTTTCTGTCCCCACTATCTTGCAGGCACACCACTTTGTAGAATGACTTTTGACACTAAATCCAGGCATGGCCTAAGTTGCATAGAAGCAGAGTTGCAGGCAGCTCCCACATCCTCCCCCTCTGCCTGAATCGTTTCCCAATCCTGTCTCCTAGTGCCCCACCTCTATAAATGCCTCCAGGGGCTCAGCAGCAAGGGTTCCCATCATTGGGAAATGCAGTAGCCTCATCTGGAAGCTCTACTACTCCTGCCTCCAGCTCCCTCTGCTGGATGCCAGTCAGTTTGTTGCAAAGACTTGTAGAAACAGTGATTATTTACAAACTTATTTTCGTATACATTTACTTAAAACCTGGAACTTTTACAACAGTTCTCCAAACCCTTTTATAAATGGTAAGTAGAATATGTACCAATG